TAGACTTTGGCTTATTATATTCATCATCAAAGGATTTCAAGCTTGTTTGATATAGTGATAACGACCGAGCCGGAGATTTGGATGAAAGAAAAAGCAAGGTTTTGAAAACCAAACCAGAGGAAAAGATCCAATCTTATCAGGAGGAAAGATCCAACAGTATCAAGAGGAAAGCACAATGAGGGCATTGCGAGCTTAGATGGGGGTGAGTGTCATCCACCGCTATCTCGAGTGGGGTTAGTCTTATTCCTTCAATCATGAGAAAGAAGATTCTAGAGGAGTTTAGAAAGAAAAAGATCAACTTAAGAGCCTTTAGAAGGTCCACAACATTCTAGAGAACATTGGAAGAGAAATGCTTCAAGAGAAACTCTAAGGTAGTTTAGAAACTTCTAGAAACATATATATAATGTAGAATCATCTAGAGGTTGAAACATTCTAATGGAATCTAAACAGAGCTCTAGGTTTTAAGGGAGGACTATAAATAGAGGTCTCTCCCCCTCATTCGAAAACAAACCCAAGGTTCCCAAGTAACCAAATGTGCAAACATTCAACTCATGGTGTAGTATTTCTTTTTTTCAATTTACTTATTTTTTATAAAGTTTTTGTATTTTCAAGTCCAAGCATTGCAAATGCTAGGCAAACTTAGTGCTTAGAAAAAGCGATAAGGCCGCACAAGTAATTTGGGAAAAGTTTGTTTGTGAAACTATGGTCAATTACCCAATTATGATTAGGCGCGGTCAACCGAGGCCCTCCTATGCCATATAAACAAACAGAGCATTTCATGTAGGATGTGCGAAAGATTAATATCATCTCAAACATGGATGATGCCTTTGTAGTCAAGTCAAATTTGCTTTGAAAAATGTAACACTTAATATGAGGCATTCATTAAGACTAGAAGAATTTTATGTGATACTGGAATATTTTGTTCAACAATTTCTTTCAAAAGGATTTCCAAAACTAATAGATTATAAATGATAGAAGCATTCATGAATTAGTTAGATGTTAACATTTTTAGTATTACAACAAATAAAGTACTTACCATATCATAAAATTATGTTGAGTGCAATGGAATATGTTGTCATTATCTCTCAAACAAATTAGTTTGATACTAAAAACATCCACTATGGATATGTTTTTTATGCTAAAAAATTAATTACATTTACAAAGAGTAAATGAAGATTAGCTACAAAATTTTGATTAAACATGTGAATATCATAACAATTCATTAAATAACTATTAAAAAAAATTAATGTTTAAAACATAGGTTGAATTTTTAAGAATATAAATGATGGATTTTTGCCTCTCATGGTCAAGTGAGATGGGTTGACCATGTCCATGAGTCTACCCCTATTAAAGCCATAATTTCTTCCCCTTAATAAGGATGATCTTTGATATCTCAACTCCAATGAGTTATGTGTTGGATCATAAAAGAATGTGGCCATTGTATACATACCACACAATTCTTATGTATTTATATCTTTAACACAAACAATTATATTTACATGCATACCCCTCAGATACTTAACACCACATCTAAAATACTACAATCGCCATCTTTGTAAAAATGAAATACACATTTTCATGCATATGTTTATGTATGTAAATTTTCTAAAGAATTGTTAATTAAAAGACTCAACATAACTTACATTCCTTTTCATCTAACTTCATGAATATAAGCTAACATCTTTTAAACATCCAAAGCCCATTTTGATAAATCAAATATTTAAATATTATGAATTAAATTATATAAATAAAATTAATTCTGAGTTTGTAACTTGTTATTAAGACATCATAAATTAAAAAGTAATTAATTTATTTTTATATTAATATAGTTTGATAGATATTTCATATTATAAGAAATCCTGACTAAGGGTCCGTTTGGGGCAGCTTGTGCGTTTCCGGATAAGCTGCTTATCCTGAAACGAAACGCGGCCTGCGTGCCGGGCCCCGCGGGCCGGGCCCCCCCCCGCCCGCCCCCGCGGGCCGACCGCAGGGGTCGACCCGCGGCCTGCGTTTAGTGTAAAAATCCAAACACATTTTCAAATAAACTGGTGAAACGCGCGAACCAAACAGTACGGCGGCATTTTGAAAACGCCGCCCGCACTTATAAGCTGCCCCAAACTGACCCTAAGTCTTGGCTGGTATCCTCAATTGTCAGCATGAATAAAGGCTACCCTATGAACAGAATGAATTTTTAATAAATATGTTTGCAAGGGATATTCGCAATAATGTTTCCTGGTTTATTTTAATATAATTTTGAATGGAAAAATAGCTTCTTTATAATAAAAATATTTACAAGATCAATCATTTAAATTTATTATGTTACAAACTAAGGAACTGGGGTTCCAAACCACCATGGATTTACATGATAATGGTTTAAATTTACTTTTTCAATCAATATTACTCGAATAAAATAATTATAATAAAGTTACTAAACTAGACATACACACATATATATATATATATATATATACACACATATATATAGCAAAACATGAGTAGTTCGTTAGGTAAAATATGGAGCTGCATGCTTTAGTATTTGTGTACATAAAAAATGTGTCAACATAAATCTTGAGAAGATCCAACAATCTAGAAGCAAAGAAGTACCATAAAGGAGGGTCCACCAATAGAAAATCAGGAGACACATTTTTTCAATCGGATGTGGCCATTCGAGCAAAAGTTGAAGGCCAACCGAGCCAAGAGAGGACTAAATGATCCAAATCTGAACCAATTGGACTAATACAAAACTTATAAGCCTCCGAACAAATCATTACAATAATGCTAAGAAAAGTCATCGACCTGTCTTTCAGTAGATCTAATCTCAGGAAAGAGTTCAGTACTTCAATATTACCAGCAGTCCCATAAACGCCACTTAGATTCCTTATCATAAACACAAAATTGACAATACAATTGGCCATCATAATCGTCCCAAAAGACCCTTTTTGTCAAGAAATGTCATATCTATCAGGTTATGGTGACTCATATTCTGCTAAATAACATAGTTTTATTTTGCCGATAAGAGCTCTTCATTGAGGTATCAAGGGTTAATAACTAGATTAAATCAGTCGATTGGCAAAACCTAGCCGATCGGGTCAGCCCAGCTACTCGAAGCTAATCAAACCTAGCCGACCAACAACACTAACTCAAACTAGCCGATCAAACCGATTTTACTAAGTCGAAGCCAAATAAGCCCAACTAACAGAGTGATAGGGCAGTTGAGCAGTATGCTCATAAATGTAAAATATCTATAATATCCTATACTACCTCTATTAAAGCAGGTGCATAAATATAATATTACCATATTGTATCATTTCTATTATAAATAGAGAATCATTTTATGATAAAAGACTAATAGACAAGCTGTTGTATTATTCTTTACTTTTTAATTCCCTTTTTTTTGCTCTTTTTTTTCTTTTTTATGTTATATTTCTTGGAGTGTGATTCACAAACAAATCAATATTGAACAATTAGAAAGTGTTATACTAGAAGAATGAAAAGAGAGATATTTATTAAACATAACATATAATAAATTGATATTAAGCAATTTAAGCATGTAAAATAAAAATTTTGATAAGGTAAACGACTACGATTTTTTTTTAAAGAAAACTTGATTAAAATCTATGTATTTAAAAAATTAAGATTTATATATTTTTAAAAAATTATGTTTTTATGTCTGCCACAGTTAAATTATTAAAATTTTTCATAGATTAATTTTAATATTTAGATGAAAAGGGAGCATTTACATACATATCACACAACTCATATGTATTTACATATCTAACTCCTAAATATTCACATGTACATGCATGCCGGTCAAATTTTTAAAATCACATCTGAATTACCAACGTCACTGCCTTTCTAAAAATAATATAAATGCTTGAGAATTTTGTGATATATGTAAGTAAATTTTCCAAAAAAATATCTGAAATACCAGTATCACTTTCTGAAAAATTGTTACGTCTGGAGTCCAATAAAATCACGCCACGTGGAAGTGACAAAAAAAAATTTGTTTTAGCACAATGGAATATTCCCCCATATTATTCTGCATTATTCAAGTATTATTATAGTAGTATTCATGTGTTATTGTGTTCTGGGAATATTTCCAGCGTTATAATAACACAATAACACATTAATACTACTATAATAATATCTGAATAATGCGTAATAACACGGGATAATATTTCTTTATACTAATTTTTTTTTTACTGTTAATTCCACGTGGTTTTTAATGGACTCCCAAACCAATAATTTTTCCTCCTTAACTCGAAAAAATATTACATCAGTACTACGCACGTAGAGTAACGTGTGTACCCAATGAAATCACGCCACGATACCTCGCGCGACGCAAAAAAAAAACGGCGCAGTAACACGGGGAATATTCCTCTCGTGTTATTCATGTGTTATTGTGTGTTATTCATGTGTTATTCATGTGTTATTGTGTTATTATAACACCAGGAATATTCCCAGGATACAATAACACATGAATAACACACAATAACACATGAATAACACGAGGGGGAATATTCCCCGTGTTATTGCGCCGTTTTTTTTCTGCGTCGCGCGGGATACGTGGCGTGATTTTATTAGATACGCACGTTCCTCTACGTGCGTAATACTGATGTAATATTTCTTCCAGAGAAGGGGAGAGGAGAATCCAGCGCGTCTGTATGCGTGTGCGAAAAGGGGAGGCCGAACATGGCATTTTAAGGTAAGGAATTTAAATAATAGTAATTTATGAATTTAATATATTATTAATTATTAATTATTGATAGTAAGATTTATTTAAATCACGATTCCAGCAATCTAAACTTCAGTTTTGGATTAGGTAGAGGTCGACGACAACGGTGAAAATTTAAGGTGAGTTAAGATTTTAGCATATTACTTATCGATTTAATATTTATGTCTAACTATCAATATATTAGAAGTACTTTTAGTTAAATCAGAATTTTCCACGTGAGATGTCGTGACGTGTTTTAATTGGCTACGCACCTTATTTTTAATATTTTTTTCCCTTGACTCACCCTCTCACAGTCCTTACCGCCGGCGAAATATACACTTCTTCCAGATGCAAGTTCTTGCAGCCCTACCGGCCGGTGCCAACCTCTTCCCATCCTCCCCCTCCAATCCACGCATCAACGACCCCCTTCCCTCCCCTCCTCCTCCCCCACTCCCTCTTCCCACAAGAATCCGAAAACCACCACCACCTCCTCCTCCAACGCCTTCCCCTTCCTCATCTTCTTCCAATACCGCCCTCCACTCCCTACACAATGGCGCCCGCTACTACAAGCCCGTCTCTCCCGGTGTCATCTCCTCCTCTTCCGACGGAAGTCGTTCCGTCCTCGTTGGTGACTCCGGAGTTTCCTATCTTATACCGGGAGCTCCCTTCGAGTTCCATTTCAGCTACTCTGAAACCCCTAAGGCCAAACCCCTCGCCATCCGCGAGCCTGCCTTTCTCCCCTTCGCTCCCCCGGAGATGCCCCGCCCTTGGACGGGCAAAGCCCCCCTCCTCTCTAAGAAGGAGAAAGATAGGAAGAAGAAGAAGATCCGCCTTCACCAGCCCCTCGGTGTTGACTCGTCTCCCCCTCCTGGAGTCGCTAAGGTACTCGAGATTGCAGGGAGGCGGCCAGTGGAACTTGGCATATACATTGATGGTCGCAGTAGAGAGCAGATATTAGGGGATCCCTTGACGCGTGCCGAGGCGGCGGAGCTCGTCAAACCTTACTTGTCGACCAATCGTCAGGTTAATCTTGGTAAGCTGGATATTTTTCTCCCTGTTTTGGAAGAATTGTGGGATGGTTTGTTGACGAACGAAAGGATTTTTTGGATACAGGAAGGGATGGGCTGACCCATAATATGTTGGAGTTGATTCATTCACATTGGAGACGGCAGGAGGTTTGTAAGGTTCGATGCCGCGGTGTACCTACAGTGGACATGGATAATGTCTGCTATCACCTTGAGGTGAGTGTCTTCAAGTAGTCGAAGATTTAGCTGCTGTGATTATGGAATATGATATTGGTAATTTTGGCTCTCTGTGTTATAATTTAGTGCTTATTAGTTGTGCGCTCATGGTTGTTTAGATTATAGCGATGAAGTCATCATACAAACTTGAACTCAATTCAATAAATCATCCATTGCGAATCACCAAAGTGCCCCACATAAGCCTACAACTCAAATTTAATAATTTCTAAGTTGATTAGGGGTACTCACCAGAAGAACTCATCACAGGAACTTCCTCTCAATTCAAAACTCACCTTAACTTCCCACTCGATGGATGTCTGTCAGCCAGTATCTTTCCCTGTTACATCTATCTCAATCTATTCTGTTATTATTCATTTATAAATAAATTTTATGACATTTGCCCTTATCCTCACCTCACATGAAGGATCATACAAATGACACCACATCATATAATCCCATTTTTTCGGTGCAAAAGTTGCCATATTGAAATTTGATGAAGATCTTCGTTCTGATTCTTTAGTTCTCTCTTTCCTCTTTTTTCCTTTTGCTTTCCCCTTCCCTCTTGGTCAATGCCTTAATTAAGGGCTTGATCTTTTCCATAAACAACATTGGATCTAACACTCTTAGAGGTAAAATGAGTGTGAACATATTTGAGATCAAGAACTATGACATAAGACATTTTGATGATAGGGAACCATTGACTTCATCACCAACTACTAAACCTAATAGAAGATGACCCAATACTGTTGATCCAGCAAAATCGGGAAACCTAACGCTTAAAAATGCAAAATTAGGAACTTAGATATTTTTCCTTAATGAAGCGAGGTCTGATTGAGGCCTATGTTAATATATTGATTTAATGTCTTATCATAAATACATGAATCACAGATCTCAATCTTAAATGTTGATATTAAATAAAAAAATTGAAATGAGATTCAATGTAGACATTAACTTAACATTTTATTATTTCGTAAGAATCAATATTCACATCAATCTCATCCTTACTTTCATCTTCATTAGAAGAATCATCACATATAATAATTTTATCACATTTGATTTTATCTTATTAGTATCTTTCAAATCTTCTTTGAGCATTAAATTTTTTTTTACTTACTATATCATTTAACATTAGAATAAAGATAATTTTAAATAAAATATAAATTAATGACAAAATTATATAATCATACTTAAACTATCTTTTGACTTTTTTGAAGTGTTGTATAACATATATTATATACAAGTATGATATAATATAATATAATATGTACTACTATATTATAATATTTAATAATATAATACTAAATATATTTTTTTTACACAACGTAACTGCTATGCAGCACTGACATCTCCAAACAGAAGTCGTACTCGTGTTGGACACAAACGCGACTCCTATTCATGCTTGTCTAATTAATTCAACACTTCCCGGACACCTCTTAAGATTGCTGAACACAGCTCGACACCAGACATGAAAACTTAAAATATAACAACATCAAAGTAGAATCCAAAGCGATAACATAAAATCAAAGCTGTGATGTTCTATAGGTCTTACCGGCTTACCATCGCTTCACAATCATTTTCATTAGCCTTTGTCAAAGTAAGCGACAAGAAAGTCGTTAAGCATTACTGGTCGAAGAAAATGAGTCTCAAAGCAGTCTCAATCGATGCAAAGGAGTTGTTGAACAGCCTTGATAAAAGCAAGGGAGTCTTCGATGATATCCAAAGCTTTGAATCGGGCAAGGGCACAATCCAGAACACGATAAAGAGCTTTCAAACGATCTTCAATGCGATCCAGAGCATCAAGTCGAGCTAGGGGATGAGCCAGAGCTTTGACTCCAGCCAGCGCACAATTTAGAGCATGTTATAGTGCTTCCACGTGATCTCTCTCGCAACCTAGAGCATCTACACGAGATAGAGGACGATCCACGTGTGCGAGTTTAGCGGTTAGACCTACGTACTTCTTTATTTATTTTTCAATGTTTTTTTTTTCGCGATGGTAACACAAAATTTTTCTCTATTTGGTATCGATCTTAATTAAATGGGGCACTTACATACATACCACCAAATTTCTATGCATTTAATAGATTAGTGTGTGAGATATGTAAATGTAGAAGAATTGCATGCTATGTATAATGTATGTAAATGTCTATTATTCCTTTACTGTATGTATGAATTTTAAATGTGTATAATTCTGCAATTGAATTAATATTGATAATGACTACTACAAGTGTCTCTAACAATCTCATAGAGGATGAGACAAAGCCTATATGAGCATACAAATTACCGAATTGAAAAAAATTGAGATTAATCCGAGTAGGAGTCAATGTAGAATTGCAATATCATTTTTGTCAAGGAAAGTTCAAGAAAACATATTCTTGGGTTAAAACACGCTTATTCTGATAATCTGGAGTTGTTATTCGAGCCTCTGCTAAAGTAAATTCGACTCAAATGCAAGAAATACAGAATTTAGATGCTAATGTAGAGCAGAAAAGAAAGTGTGCATTTAAGAAGGTTACATGTATTTTTTCTAGACAAAGTTGTTCTAATAAGTTATGAAACTCCCAGTTTGTTTTTCAAGACAAAGAACTTACAAAGATCGAGCTTGCAACTTTTAACACCATGCAACATGCTTCTTCTATGCAATTTCGCCATCCCACGTTCACTAAGATGACCCAGTCGCATGTGTCATAGGTTTGTATTATCATCATCTGACTCCACAGAATGAACTTCACCTACAACTGTACTCCCTAACAGTTTGTAGATATTACCTGCATTTAACTTTTTTTTATCATAGTCAATGCACCTTTAATAATTCTGATGGTTTCCATATCCTCATCTGCCGTAAGAATAAAATCATTTATATTTAAAGTGCTCATGAAAATCAAATTCTTCAAATCTGGAATGTGTTTGACGTCACTAATGTTCTAACAGTATCATCATACATATGAATTCTGACTTCACCAATACCAACAATATTGCAACATCTATCATCACCTAAATAGACTGAGTTAGAATAAGTTAATCTGTATGAAGTAAACCACTCCCTGTTAGGTGTTATATGATAAGAGTATCATGAATCAAAAATCCATGCATACATGAACTGAGTTGATGAAACTTAAAGTATATCTTCATCACTGCAATCTGAATTGTCAGTCTGCACCACTTTTACAGACTTCATTGATGCATTACTTTTCTCCTCAGTCTGCTTCTTGAGCTTTGGACAAATCATATTCATATGACCTGGCTTTTTGCACTTGTAGCAATGAATTGTCTTTTTGCCTTTGAACTTTGATATGGAATTTCACCTTTCAAAATCTTTCTTCTCTTTTTTCCTTCAACGATCCTGATTACCCTTCACATATAAACTGTCGTCATAAGAGTTTTCCCCTGCATTCTGCTTCCGCTGGTTATGGGCCAACAATGATGTAGTAATTTCATCAACTTTGATAGTCTCTTTCCTATATATAAGAGTATTCACTAGGTGTTCATAGTAAGAAGACAATGAACACAATAAAATCATTGTTCGGTCTTCATCCTCAATACTCATATCAACTCGTGATAAATCTGTGATAATTTGATTGAAGTCATTCACGTGTTGTGTCAGATCAAAGTCTTCTTGCATCTTCAGCCCATACAACTTTTGCTTCAAATACAATTTATTCGTCAGAGATTTAGTCATAAACTGAGTTTCTAATTTCTTTCATACCTCCCCTGGAGATTTTAGATTCATCACGTTATACATAATCTCATCTGTCAGACATAAACATATGGTTGTTGTCACTCGTTATTGCAATTTTTCCCAATCTTTATCTTCCGTGGCTTCTGGTTTTGTTACTCGCAAAGTCTTCAAGATTCCAAGTTGAGTCAACAAATCTTTTATCATTGTTTGTCACAACAAGAAGTTCCTAGTTTCATCGAATTTCACCACCTTGAATTTTACACCAGAAATTGTCATTTGAAGTTGAATCTGCAACGAAGTCTTCTGCAAATTACTCTGCTAAATTTTTAAAATTGCTGAAGCCAAAAATTATTATTTCTCTTTAATTAAGTTCGTTCAAAATAGAATATTTCTGAAAAGGATTGAAATATTCACTTAATTAAGTTTTCTAGAAAAACAACAGAATCTTTTTTAAAAAGGATTTAAATATTCTCTTAATTAAGTTTCCTTTAATTAAATTTCGAACAATTTTTAGAAATTTTTTTTTCCTGATATTTCCTTTTTCGCTTTTGTCCAAGTGCAGCAACAAGAATTTCCTTTTTCGCGGCAATTTTCTGAAAGGGAATATTGCCTTCCAATTCAGCTCCCGTGCTCCGCCGCCCGACTGCCTCCCGCGCCGAACAGAGCGCTGCCTGAACCTCTTCTCCCTGCTCATGATCACGCGATCTCCTGCGTCACGAACTCCTGTGTCGCTAACAGAAGAACCTCTGCGAAATTCCTCGACTCCTCGAAGCCGAACTCCTCGCAACCTTCGAAATTGTATATTCGCAACCTCCTCTGTGAAATTTGCCTTCTCGCCTAGTCATGTGAGTAAGCCCTGGAGCAGAACCGCGTTTCACCTTTATGTGTCGCGAATGCCAGCCGAACTTCCTCTGCGTCGCCGTTAAACTGCTCGCAATCGAAGCCCCTTCGCGAACGCCTCCTGTCTGTCGCGAATCCCTAAGGGTCGCGAATCCGAGATGCCACAATTCGCCTCCTATCGCGTTCCAAATCGCCAAACTCCTTGCCTCGGCTGAATTCATCGAACCCACAAAAAAACTTCGAAGCTTTCGTCGCCAAACGCTAGCCGTCGAACTCCTCTGTCAAATCTTCCTCTTCCCTGTACCGATATTTTTTTTCTCTGCCCTAGAACCTTACTCTGATACCATTTGTTGAGAAATTAGGGCGAATAAAAATAGGAATCGACACAAATCCAGAAGAACACATAGATATTTAACGAGGTTCGGCAAAGATGTCTACGGCCTCGGGAGCAGAGCAACGGCTTTTCTTCAATCTCAGAAAAAAAATACAAGACCCCTTAGGGTTACAATAGAGTCTATATATATAGCCTTGGAGTACAATATGTAATTATAAAATTATCCCTGTACCATACCGCGGGGCGTTGCCCCCGCACTCCCAACCCACATAATGAAACTCCCCCGATTCAGACAGATTCTTCCGCTACGCTCCGCTTCGTTCCAGTATGAGCCATATTTAACACATCTCACTGTAGGCACTATCATTAGCTTCTTAGAACCTAAGTGGCAGTTCATCTCCTAATTTGTAAATGCACAAGGCTACTGAAGTATTCTTAAACTCTTCTTAACATAAGATAGGAGTCTAAAGAGCCACTCCGTCGATTTATCACTTGCTTATAATGAGAGATGCTGGTTGTTCAAGATTTGAGACCTTTTGCTACTTATACAATGCTCACTCATGATATTCAGTTATGAGCTTTGCTTGAAACAACTAAAAACATTGGTCAAACTGCTTGAAATAGCCAATAACCAATTTAATGTGGAATAATACGGCCACACAATCTCATCTTCCACCTTCACAGATAATGCAACTTTGACTTATCATGTGATTTTCAATAACAACTTCATGTTTCGCGAAACTGTTCATTTGATGACTACGATAACTCGGCCAATATGTCAAAACATTGTCACCACCAGCATTGACATTAACAACAGAGTAAAAGAAGTCTCACATATTTTCATTGCAAATCCTCGATTTTGTTTGATGTTTATGTTTCGAAAATATTTTGATAAGACTTATAGTGATATCACTGATTGAGGCTTGAAAGAAATTTCATTTTTTTTATTGAAATTGGTGTTCTAAGAGATGGCACTCCAGCTGTAGAGCTTCTTTTGTTTACACACACACACACATATCACGCATAGTGTTAAAAAAAGTATGAAAAAAGATGTTTCCATGCTTTTGCCATCTAGTTTAGGAGCTAGCTTTTCCTTCCGTGTTTTCCAGTTCTCGAGCTTGCAATTTGTGCCTGAATTTTTTTTTTACTTGAATTATGGTGTGCTTCAAAATACGGATGCATTGCTGTTAATTATTCCTTTCGGTAGTAAGTTTTAAATTGATCTCAAGGACACACATACCCCTTGTAAAAAGTGACCATAACAAGGACAAGCAGTCCTTGCCAAACATGAAATTACATTTGAGTTTATGAGCATATAATTATGAGTTCTTATAAACATTCTTTTTGCTAGGAAAAAACTGGTGGAAAGATCATACTTCGAACTGGTGGAATTGTTTATTTGTTCCGTGGCAGAAATTACAACCCACGTACACGTCCTAGATATCCTGTGATGCTTTGGAAACCAGCTGCTCCTGTTTATCCTAAACTTATACAAGAAACTCCTGATGGATTAACTAAAGAGGAAGCAGAAGAACTAAGACGAAAAGGGCAGAACCTACTACCTATTTGTAAACTAGGTTACTACTTCTTTGTGGTCTTAGTTTTTCTCAATCATTTCATTTACAGTTAATAAAATTTCTGTTGATTGTTTGTGTGATGCCTTTTCCCATCAATGCTATAAAATACTTCACTTTGTTATATATATATATATACATATATATATATATATATATATACATATATATATATATATATATACATATATAGGTGGCGGGGACACTGTAAGTCCCCTCAAGTCAAGGGTTTGATCTTACCGTGACGCGTTGGCTCTGGAATTTTTGGCACATGGCGCAGACACCCTATCATAGGTGTCCGACGGCAAAGGAAAAACGGTTTTTGGGGCCCACCGGACTCAAATACCGTTTCCTTTTGAATATATATATATTCTCTGGATCCTCGTTCAGTTTATAGACTTCTGTTTTCTAAAATTATTGACCTTTTTTTTTTTTTTTTTTTTTTGCATTTCTTTTGCAGCAAAAAATGGCATATTTTTATCTCTTGTTAAGGATGTGAGAGATGCTTTTGAATTAAGCCATTTGGTGAAGGTTAACTGCCTAGGACTGGATCCAAGTGATTACAAAAGGATTGGTGCAAAGCTAAAGGTTTGTGGATTGTACTTTTTCATCATTAAATTTATTATCTTCAATGTTATGTGATCTCTAATATATATGAAAGTTTAATATAGTATTAAGGAGAAGTGGAGGGTATGTTGTAAGAGGGTCAGATTGCATGAAATGACACCAAATACGGTTACGTTTACATTCACATCTCTTATTCTTATAGTCACTCTTAGGGAAAATATTGCTTCATGATTTTAGAAAAACCATTCATATTTTTCATCAAAATAACACCTCTTACAGCATAAGGGGAGTCTTTAAACATCTGCAATGTTATCTAATGTTTAATACCTAAAAAATTATCATGTAGGATTGAGGAGAAGGGTTGGTTATGCTGTAAAATGTTAGTCAGATTGAATGATATGGAACCAAATATGGTTGACGCTACACTTCAAATTCTTATAATCACTCAAAGAAAAAATATGGCTTCATGTATTTAGTAAAACCATCCATATTTTTCATAAAAATAACACCTCTTACAGCATTAGCAGAATGCTTAATTATGCTATTCACAGAAGGATAAGACAGGGAGCTTAAACTTTTTCAGATTAACAAAGATTTTCCCGGCATAGAACCTAAAGAACTCTCCTCCAATGGGTTAAGAGTTCTAAAGTTACAACCATAGCAGTCAAAAGTCTAAATAATTTCAAGAATTTAAGCTCAAGGTCAATACTTTGCTTATTTTGTTGTCTGTGTTGCTTATTTTGTTGTCTGTCTTGGTGTGGATCCTAGAACTTTAGCTTATAGTGCATCAAATTATCCTCTTTCCTAGTCTTATTGCATCAATCGGCTTATAAGATTGCTTCTTACTTTTGTTTCACAGGACCTTGTACCTTGTGTGCTATTATCTTTTGATCAGGAGCAGATCCTCATGTGGAGAGGTAAAGATTGGAAATCAAGATATCGTACTCCCATCTCTTTGGCTCTGGACACTTCTACAAATGATGATGGAACATCATCTTATTCTGCTGAAGAGGGTACCTTTTGAATTTTTCTCTTTTGAGCATTTTAGTCATCTTCTGTTATCCGACATGCATTATATTTTGCTCCTTTTTTAGCCTTTATACAGCTTAATAGTTGAAAGGATGGGTAATATAGGACAATCAAGAGTCTTGGGTTACTGAATAAATTTAGAATTGGATTTATAGTGAAAATACACTAAAAACCTCAATTCATGGGTTATCAGTGCTTATCTTTAGCAAAAACCTATTACTCTTAATGTAATAATGGCAAACACTTCTATTTCATCTCATATAATATTTAATAGTTACCAAGATCTACATAAAAAAACTGTGAACAAACATAAAATTGAAACAACAATTCATGGGTTATCAGTGCTTACCTTTTTTAGCAAAAACCTATTACTCTTAATGTAATAATGGCAAACACTTCTAATTCATCTCATATAATATTTAATAGTTACCAAGATCTACATAAAAAAACTGTGAACAAACATAAAATTGAAACAACAATCAAGTTTATATTTTAAAAAGGAAAGCCAGCATGGATCACACTTAATAAAATTCCAATCACATGCTCAAACCAATGACTAAACATGAAAGCAAGAATAAGGATAGTAATCACCCAAAAACACGAACCTTTGTGGTATAAGGAGATTCACTCGAAGAAATAGGTATCTAGCTTACACATGTACACGAGTTGAAGAAAATTGGAATTCTTAATGCAATACTCATGTTCTTTAATTTTTATAGCTCTTAGAAGACCAAAAGATTTCTAGAAGAATTTTCATACATGCCACCCAATTTTTATGTATTTATATCATCCCAAATCTTTCATATCATATCAAAATTACCTTTATTTTAACTTTTAAAGGTGAAATTCAACTTTTCATGCATAGTTAATGAGGCATATTTGTAAAAATTGGAGAGTAGGTGCTAGATATGCAAATACGTAGGTATTAAGTTGTATACATGTAAATCTTCCAAATTTCTAATAATCCTCTTAGATCTAATAAAAAATAACATATGCCAATTCTCTCAACGCATTAGATATTAGAAATCAACTTTGATTTCAAAATTTTAATGAAAAATTTATCTCTAAAACGGAAATAAGTGACAGACAACACAACAGAATAAAGTGGGAACAAAATTGTAGTAATTCATAGAGCCAGTCATCATAGGATTGTAGTATGTAGTACGACTGATTGCAGCAAATCATTAAGCATAAAAAAATCTTAGTATTGACACATGCAACAATTGCGTTCCCTGAAATGTAGAATTGGCGATAATTTAAAACCCCAATGTTATGAATCAATGGAGCAAAGAGTTGAAGGACGTGACATTGGAACTCTAGTATGACGATGGTAGTCGAAAAATAAACCGTAGTAATTAGCATCACTTGGGGGAAAAAGAACACTGTTTCAATTAGCTAATCGATGCAGTGACAAAGAGGCACATCAGAATCTATTGAAACAATTTGTTTAGCAGATAAGAAACTTCGAAAGCTGAAAGCTGAAACCCATAATGTTTATAGTTAACCAAAACTGAAGAGAATCTTGATATTGGAGAACATGATTCATAACTAATTATGATCAATATCGTAGGCAATATTTAATATAAATTGAAAAGAAATTATATTATAATTTAAATTCACATTTATACATTTAATGATCATACGCTTTCTGGTTTTCATTAAATTTGCCTTGGAAAAAATTTTCTTTAGAGAATCGAGCATTTGATATTTGTCAAGTCAATCTAGGAATAATTATTGCGCTTTCTACACAAAAATCTATGACTCATCACAAATAAATTTGTCACGACAAAGAATATGATATCTATAATATCCGCTTTTACAATTTCAGAAACTAATTGAGTAGACCTTTTTGGCATGGCACTCAAAGTAAATTGATATTGAGAGAATGAAAAGAGAGAAGAATACATGATACCAACGACAAGTTCATGAAATAAAGCAAAATGAGATATATGCTAGAGATCAAGCCAATGCTAGTGCTTCATAGGATTTCTAGTTTGTAAACATTTGTTCCAATAAATTGCAAAATTTTACATCAACTTCCTTGCCTCTGTTTTCTCAAAGGTTTCCATAGAAAACTTCTTCAGATTTAGATGCACATTCTTTTATTAACTGATATCATATGCAAAATCACTAGGTTATGGATTAAATAGGACATCTGATAATTTCCAATACAGATCTGACAGATGACAGTGACGGTGAGTCCAAGTTCATGAAGGCAGTATCAAGCCCCAAAATGATGTCCTTATGGAAGCGAGCTTTGGAGTTAAACAAAGCATTATTATTAGAGGAGACTGATCTCACTCCCGATTCTCTTCTTCAGATAGTTGAAGAATTTGAAGGCATATCATCACAGGCAGCTGAACCTGGCATAAGTAGTGATTTGGATGATACTGAGGCTGAATATGGAAATAATGGAAATAATGGAAATCAAGTTGAAGATGATGAGGAATATGACCAAGGCTCTAATGAGTTTTGTGAAGAGCTGGAGTCCTCGGTCCCCTTTGGCTCTTTACCTGTTGATTTAATAGCCGAGCGGCTACTCAGAGAAATATAATTTAGGGGCAATAAAGATGTCAGAATAGTCCTGACCTTTTTTATGGTGCCATGTTAGTACTTAGAGTCTATAGAAATGTCAAATTAGTGCCGCAACTCTTTTAAGTTAGTGTGGAAACAGTCCTCCATGGGAATTATTTTAGCCTATATTAAAAGTGTTTGGGAACTAAATTGATATTTTCTATAAACTTTGGGGCTGAAATGAATTCCTACAATAAGTCTGGATTATGTTGATATTTGTCTCATTTATGGGCATTTACATGCATAACTCCCAATTGTTATGCATTTACAGATCTATCACCTAAATCTTACTTTTAAAAATTATAGCACCCAAACCTTTATGTCGCTTAAAAATAGTCATTTTAACTTCCAATAAGTGAAATGGAACTTTTCATTCAAAGGCACAGTGGTATATATATAAAAATTAAAATTTTTGTGTTAGATATGCAAACACTTAGAAGTCGAGTGGTTTTTAAGTAAATCTTACTATAATTTTTATGAAATCTGTGCAAATGGGCGGTGTGGCAATGTTTGGACCACACCATTGGGGTGTTTGAGAAGTAGTTTTTTTCTTCGAGAAATTGTAAAAAAATTGTGTTTTACAACTTGACTTGACTTTTTGCGGTGACTATCAAAAAGTTGAATTGTGATTTGACTTTTAAAAATAATAAAAATATTTAATAACCACTGGAATTTTTTATTTTGCAGCAACTTCACAATGCTACCCTAAACGAAAAAATATCACATCAGGACTCCTGACGTAGAGCTGCGTTCGGATTGGAATATCCGGCTTTGTTATGGGAATATTTCATCTGCGTTATTTGTAAAACTAATGTGTTATTCGAGTATTATATGGTGTTATTCAATTATTTTACGGTGTTATTGGAATATACGGTGTTATTGGAATATTTGGAATATTCTATCGCGTTACTTATTTGAGATTGAAGTGTTATTAGAATATTCCCCCGCATTACTTGATTTGGGGTTGTGCTATTCCAATAACATAGTGTAAATTGTAATAACACGAGGAATATGCTAAATAACAAAGCCTCAAATCAAGTAACATAGGAAACATTTCAATAACACCGCAAAATATCGAATAACACATTATTTTTACAAATAATGCAGATAAAATACTCATGTAACACAGTAGAATATTCCAATTCGAACGTAACTCTACGTTAGGAGTCCTGACGCAATATTTTTCCACCCTAAATAGACGGTTAAGGTTCATTTATGTTTGCTTATTTTGCTAATATGACAAATTTGAGGTGGTTGAGGTCAATGGTTAAAAGCATTGGGGTTGTATCTGAATTTGGCTAAGCTCAACTAGAAAATAAATTTATAAGGTTGAGCACAGTAATATCTGGCCTTACTTAGTTTTTAACCTTTTTTTTTTTTTTTTTTTTTTTTTTTTTTTTTTGAAATCACCTGGTCATTTGTCACCATTACATGTGCACTGGGTGCTGGATGAGCATGGGCTCCATAGGACAATTAACGCTGGCGGCAAGTGGTCGAATCTAGCCAGCCCCAAATTTTTACAATAGTTTTTAAATTTTATTTAATACTAAAAAATTACCACTTTAAACTAAATATTTAATATCAATCCTCTTTTAAATTTAATGATTGTATTTGGAATAATTTTTAAAAATTCCAGATATGAAATTTTAAATATAAATATTCGCCTTCACTTGATTTATTATTCTGTTATTCCTCTCTTTAAATTGGCAAGCACCGGAAGGGAACCGGTGAGTGTGAATGAATGTTGATGGCATTTTCAATTGGATTTCGATGTAATGTATTTACAACGATTAATATATGGAGAGAATGTTGTGTCTGGGCCTCACTGTAATACAATGATTAGGGGTAATTTTTAGAAGATGTGGAGCTCACTTGTAACGTGGCAAGATTTCACTGGATTCTGAACGCAAAATTTGCATCCCGAGTCCGGATACAAAACTTTTCCAATATATGACACCAAGCGCTAATGGATAGAGCTTTGGAACTCTTTTGAATCTTCAAATTCTATAAGAAATTCTATTAGCATGAGTAGAAATAGCTTAGCTTTGTTTATGGTGTTTTTAGTGCTGATTATTTCTATTAGAACTCAAAATATTCCATCTTATGGTCGAAGCTCTCCTTTGCTATTTGAGGTTTCTTTTTGACATTTCTTGAAGGTCTTAATTACTTGGTAAAACTAGAACTATCTTCAAGCTAAATTCACAATACTACTTATGTTATATATATATATATATATATATATATATATGACGTGTAATGTATGTAAATTTTTATTTCATAATTGCCCTTGCCATCGTGATTCGTGCACAGTGACAGCCATCTACAGCTGTCCGCATATTAAATAAATAAATGATCTTCATGTCTCACCAACCAGAATAGGGTTGTCAAAAAAGCTCGTTGTTCGCGAATAGTTCGTGTTCGGTTCGTCAAAGAGTTCGTGTTCGATTCGTTCGATAAGTAAACGAGACAAACGCGAACAAATTTTTTTCGTTCGGTTAGTTAAACGAACCAAACACGAACAGTGATGCGTTCGTTCGTGTTCGAATCGTTATTGTTTGAAATATAAAATAATATAAAATAATTATATATAAAAAATTTATTATATTCTAAAACATTAAATTTTATAAATTATAATATATAATAAAATAATAATAATAATATATTAATATACTATAGTAGTAATATACTAATATAGATATTGTATA